CCCAGCACCTTGCCCCAGCACCCTGCCACCTGAGCCAGCATCCTTCCACCCAGCAGCACCCTCTCCTCAGCCCCAGCACCCACTAGCACTCTGTCCCCTACCCCCACCAGCACATTTGGAACCACATTAGTGAGGCTTGGGGGTTTTTGGAGGAGCTTTTTTGTTTGTTGGTTTGTTTTTTGCATCTCACTTGTGTGGCCCCAACTGTGGGTCAGTGACCTTTGACTCAAAACAGGTTCCTCACCCCTCTCACATATAAAGACAATGCTAAAACCTTTTGAGTCTGACAATATTTTATTTAAAAATGAAGCCAGGCCAACAAGCCCCGAATTGGGACCAAACCCCCATTCCTCTGCAACATCATAACACTCCTGCACCACCTGACCCCAAATCTGAGCCTATCATACACTAGAACCGCCTGTCCTGAGCCTCTTACATCCCCACACTCCTGCATCCCCAGTCTTCTGCCACAACATTCCTCCACCGTCCACACATCACAAATCTATGTCCTGAGCCCATCATACTCACAAACCTCTTGCCCTGAGTCCCTCACATATCCAACCAAACTCCTGCACCCTCACATCCACAAGCCCTGGCTTGCTCAGCACCCCAACCTTCCACCTGAGCCCAACACTCCCCAGCCTAGAGCCCCCTTCCTGAGTCAACAGCCCCTTCTCCTGCATCCAAATTCCCTCCCAGAGCTTGTACCTCTCACCCCTTCCCACACCCAAATCCCTCATTCCCACCCCACACTTCCCGTCTCAACCTAGTGAGAGTGTATAAGGGCTGGGGATAGCAAGTGATGGAGAGGAGGGGAACAGAGGAACAGAGCGGATGAGGCCTCACAGAAGGGAGGTGGGAGTTTTGGGGAAGGAATGTGATTTTCATGAATTGGTGGGTCCCTCTCTCCTCCTCCCCCCCCTTTTTGGCTGAGAGCAGAGAGAGCCATGGAGCAAAGCATGACAAAGAGGAGGCCGTCAATGAGAAAAAAACTTGTTGTGCTGTGCTCTTCCCTAGAGCCGTATCAGGAGCTGGATGCAATACTTTGGTGTTAAAGAGACAGGGAAAAACTCCTGATGCCAGAGGCCCGCACACACCCTCTCTGGGGCACCTGGTGCTGGCCACTGTCGGCAGAGAGGCTACTGGGCTAGATGGACCTTTGGTCTGACCCAGGACGGCTGTTCTTATGTTCTTATACAGGCCTGGCTGGTATAGCAATGTAGAAGGCTCCCCTTCTAACTGCCTCTCAAGCGGTCCCTAAGGTCACTGACCGCAACTCAGACAGACTTGTTTATTTGATAGAGTAGCATGCATGCAATTTAGGTTTCAAAGGGCACTCAGGTAATTCACACATTAGCATAATATGGATTAATTCCTCCTTCCCTGAGTCGGGTTTCCCATTGTGAATTAGATCACTCATTATCCCAGCACTCGCTCCACTGCCTGGCACATAATTTTTGTATCTGAAAGATTAAAAGGCCTGACTGTGGTCTTCTGTGGTCTCTTCTCCACCAGAAGAAAGGTCCTGACTTCAGGGGAGACAGCCCTGTTGTAACTGGGAGAGAGAGAGCTGGATTGGGCTCTATGGGAATAACCACGTAGGTGCTTTGCAAAAAGTAATTTAAAAATGTCTCTGAACTCTAGAGTTGCAAGGTAGTTTTAGCTAGTGCAGCTACCCTGATCTCTGATTCCAGGACTAAGTCACTGGTCTCCAAAACATCCCTGGAGAGAAAATCCACATTACTATGAACAAGAAACAAAACTGTATTGTCATACATAAATACTACTCTGCCCCATCACTGCACAATCACATTCACAATAGCACACACACTCACATTCTTGTCTCTGCAACTGCCCAGCACATGCACACATTGCTGGCACTTCATATACACACACACACACACACACCTTTCCCTCTACCTTTGTCTCCCACCATATTCAAACTACAGGCGCGTTCACGCTGTCTTCAGGCATGTGCATGCAGATGGCCACGCTACCCCAGGCAGGCATGCCCTTCATACCCACTTTAAACCATTTCTGTACTCACCACATTTGGGATCCTGTGAATCGTAGCACCAGACAGCTGCAAGAGAGAAAAGAATTCAGAATACAGACTGGTAGGAACTAAAAAGCCGGCATTAAAATCCACAGGTTTCTGCAGAAGCAAAGGGCTTGTTGCGTTCTCACTTTTCATTGTGCTAAGCAGCAATGAAGTGTTTGCAGAAAAACCATTCCATTTAACACACAAGCACTTGAAACAGGCCTGATTCTACCAAGGCAACCTACTTCTTTATTACTGATAGAAACGTAGCCGTGTTAGTCTGGTGTAGCTGAAACAAAATACAGGACTATGTAGCACTTTAAAGACTAACAAGATGGTTTATTAGATGATGACCTTTCGTGGGCCAGACCCACTTCCTCAGATCAAATAGTGAAAGAAAATTGGCACAACCATATATACCAAAGGATACAATAAAAAAATGAACACATATGAAAAGGACAAATCACATTTCAGAACAGAAGGGGGATGCGGGGGGGAGGTAAATGTCTGTGAGCTAATGATATTAGAGGTGATAATTGGGGAAGCTATCTTTGTAATGGGTAAGATAATTAATGTCTTTGTTCAGACCTAAGCGTAAATAAGCTTAAATTTGACACTTTACACTAAGGATCACTTCAATTATCTATTCAGCTATAGCCAAAAGTGTATAGGGGCAGGAAATGGAAAATAACTGCGAGACATGCTGTATCATAAAAGACAGTCACCCCTTAGATTCTCTAAAGCAGTGGTCCCCAACGCGGTGCCCGCGGGCGCCATGGCGCCTGCCGGGGGATTTCTGTGCACCTGCTGAAACATCTGGGCTGGTCCCACCCCCGGCGCACGGCATATGCATGGTGCCGGCTCCAGGCGCGGGACGCATGGGTGGCCCCTCCCCTGGGCGCACGGCTCATGCACGGTGCCAGCCCCTAGCATCTACACAGCCAAACCACTATTTTGAAATAAATTTGAATAGCGGAGCGCTTGTTTCGAATTTGGTAAACATCATTCTGCAAGGAATAATGCCAAAATCGAAGTAGCTAATTTGAAATAAGTGCTGTGTAGACACTTATTTCAAAATAGGGGGCCTCCAGCCCTTCCCAGGGTGCCCTGGTGGCCACTCTAGCCTCAACCAAGAACACTCCTCTGCCTCCCCCTTTCCCAGGGCCCTTAAAGGGGTTGATTCTGGCCACAGTGCCAGTGCCAGCTCCAAGCCTGCCAGCCCAGAGCCAGCAGTCACTGCCCTTGACCCTCCCCCCCAAACATGAGCCAGCAAGCCACTGGCACCCAGCCCTCCACCGCTCCCCAGGAGCAGTCTGCCAGCTCCCAGGAGACTGCCAGGGCGTGAAGAAGGCGGGCACCTTCCTGCTCCAGGGTGGAGATCATGGATCTTATTCAGGGTTGGGGGGGATGCCCCCAGTGTCCATGATCTCTGCACTAGACAGAGGAATGCGGCCATCTATGGCAGGATAGCTGCCAGCCTGGCCACCAAAGGCCATATGCGAACCCAGGAACAGGTTAGCATGAAAGTCAGGTTGGTACGGCGAGACCCCCAACCCTGAGCCCTAAGCTTCCCTTCTCCCTTCTTCGCCTTGCTTCCCCCTTCCAGCTCCCTCCTCCCAGGTTTCCCCCTCCTCTCTTCCATCCTCTCTCTTCCCTTCTCCCACCTCCTTTTTCCAGTCTCCCCAGAGGTTCATCCCTCCCCAGATTTGTTCAATAAACCCAGTTTCTATTTTTGAACATAAGTGTCTTTTATTTGACATCAGGAAGGGGAGCTAGGGAGGGGAAAGTGGAAGGACGTGAGGGAGGAATGGGGCAGGAGCCCCTGGTGGGGAGGGCTTCTTGGGGTGGACACTCTTCCTCAGGGCCTCCTGGATCCTGACAGCCCCCCGATGGACCCCCAGATGGCAGCCTGCAGCAAGTGTAGCCGGGCTGATGGCAACGACCCCATGAGATGCACCAGCATGCCCAGGGACAGCTCTGGCTCCATGTGGCTTAGTGCTGTGATGTGCCGAGTGTAGGCACTCAGGGCACTCCAAGACAAGACTGCTTTGCTGTCCCTCATCGAGGTAGACAAGCAAGGGGGAAGCCTGAGAACTGTCTGTCCGGGGTGGGGGTCGGGTCTCTTTAAGCACTGAGCTCAGTTAGCCTCAGGCAGCAGCTCCACACACAGCAGCTCCACACACTAAGTCCCAACCTGATGCCCTGCCCTCACTGGTTCCAGCCAGCATTAACTTCGGTTCAGGGTCCACTCAGTGTGGATGCGCTATTTCGAAATAGTTTTTGTGTATAGATGAGTTATTTCAAATTAGCTTAATTTGAATTAACTATTTCGAATTAAGTTAATTCGAAATAGCACTGTAGTGCTGACATACCTTTAGAAGACATTTATGGGCAAATTAGAGCTAAACAGTAGCACAGAACCCTGAGAGCCAGGGTTGGTGGCTGTAAACAAACTTTATGGGACTGGAGGAAAGTTAGCCACACCCATGGTCTGTGGCCATCCAGCTAACTCCAATCTCACTGGACCATGGATGTTCCCAGGCCACCGAGCGCTGGACTAGAGAAGTTCAATCTGTACTCTTGTTAGCTCTCTGTAAGCAGCAGGCTCTTACAGTCACTGAAGTAGCCAGTAGGAGTCATGATCACATCTAGTAAATGAATTTATTACACCCACAAGATAAGCTTTTCCCAAGCATCTGAGGCCTGATCTGAAGGGCCATTTGTAATTAACTGTGG